TCATTATCATTACCATTACCATTATCATTATCATTACCATTATCATTATCATTATCATTATCATTATCATTATCATTATCATTATCATCATCATTACCATTATCATTCTCATCATCGTTATCGCTGTTGTTACCATCATCGTTATCATCATCATTGTCATTGTCATTATCAGTAGCATCATCATCATCATCATCATCATCATCATCATCATCATCATCATCATCATCATCATCATCATCATCATCATCATCATCATCATCATCCCCTCCTCCTTCTCCTCCTCCTCCTCCCCTTCTCCTCCCCCGCCTCCTCCTCCTCCTCTTCACTCAGTGGGTTCGGGGTGCGTGGCGCCGCCGATCCGCGCTGATGGACTCGGTACGAGCGGCACTATGACAGAAAGCATGGGGACGAAAACCGACAACAGTTCGTGTCCACTTTGGGCAGGATTCGCTTTCGGCTTCTCTGTGGATCTTTTCCATTTGGGAGAGAAGCCTGTCTGCCCAACAGCGGTCGCTGTCCGTTTTGGATGATAGTTGTTATTGGGCATTGCACTCATTGTTTCCGTACCCACTTTTTGGGCGTTCCAAGGATCCAGCTTCCCTCAGTGACGGGGTGCTTGGCGCCTGTGATCGCGTCGGAGGACCGCGCCGCATCGCCGATGCGTCCGCGATGCGGTGCGATCGGGAGCCCTCCCTTCCGCACACCTGCGCCTCCGATGCATCGTCGATGCGTTGGCGCTGTGGTGAGATCCGCGGACTCCTCTCTCCGACTCCCTTCGGGAGGCCTCCGTCTGGCACCCGCCCCGCCAGAAGGCCCGAGTGGGGCCTTCGTCTGGCGCAGGCGGGGGTGCGGGGGCGCTTTGGTCACCGGCCAGGCGTGGTGCGACCAGCCCACCCAACGGCGCGGATCGCCCCGGGGCCCCCTGAGGAGAGCGCACCGATGGAGCTCCACCCGCTGCCGCCAGTGGAGCAGCTGGCGCTCGAGCTGGGTGACATCATCAACAGGCAGCACTCGGAGCTGCGGAGACGCCTCGACGGGTTTGTCCTCCACAGTCGCCAGCGCCCGTCGAAGAACAGCGTGGGCGTCTGCTCGCCCGCAGACGGCCCCGAGGTTTGGTCCGCGCGCCCGTCGAGGAGCAGCTTCGCGATGGGGCGGGCCTCGTGGGCGTTCGACCAGCCTGGCGTGCCAGAGCATCGGCGCCCTTCAGGTCGCCCAACAAAGAGCTCACGAGTGCTCGACGAAGCAGATCAGAGTACCACGTCGAAGTATGTCTGGGAGAACCAGAAGAAGCCACGCAAGACGGGCAGGATCAGTGAGATTTCGATGGGCGATATCATCACGAGAAGGACGACAAGAGATTGGACGAGGACAAAAAGCATGCCAGTCTGGATGAAGGCAGTGACGGCAAACTCCAGTGGCTGGCGTATAAACCTGCTGTCGATGACCAACGACTGGAGGTACGAAACAGCGAACGCCTTTCTCATTCTGGTCAATGCCCTCCTTACGGCGTGGGAGACCGAATATGCTGCCACCCAGCTAAACAGTGGGAGTGGGGAGTACTACGTCCCTGCGCACTTTGTGTTCGTAATGTTTGCCTCCTGCTTCTTTTTCACCCTGGACCTGGTCCTCAGGATCATCCCGAGGGGCGTCGACATGTATGGCGGGAAGGACTGGAAGTGGAACGTATTTGACTCTGTAGTGGTCGCGGGCTCCTGGCTGGAGGTCGTCGCCTGACGACGACGACGACGACGACGATATCGACGACGGCGACGACCACGACGACGACGACGACGACGCTGGAGGTCGTCGGCTACCTGGGTGATGTGGCGGACAACTGGCTGTCGAATGCCTCGGTGCTGCGGGTACTGCGGCTCGTGCGTGTGTCGCGCGTCTTCCGCGCCTTTCGCTTCCTCGTGTACTTCCGGGACCTTCGAATTACTGTCGCCATGCTGTGCGATGCTATCATCCCTCTGTTGACGTTCTCTGTCATCATGGCCGCAGTCTTCATGGTGTTTGGGATCTTTTTCACTGCCGGCGTCACTGCCCACATGACATCGAATGGCAAAGACGAAAGCTTGATTTTGTATTACGGCAGTTTATTCAAAACGATGGCTACCCTGTACATGGCGATAACGGGTGGAATTGACTGGGAGAATGCTGCGACGCCCCTCTCGAAGCTCTCAAGCTTATACTCCGTGGTGTTTTATGTCTACATCACTTTCTCGATCTTAGCAATGCTGAATGTTGTCAATGCCATCCATGTGCTTGTGGCAAACCCCGTCACCACGTCATGCCCGTCGCCGACAATGTAAATCTCAAGACCGATCCAGTGCGGAGAAGGAGTAGATCCACATTGCCGTAACGTCGCATGATAGCTGCATGGGCTGTCGTTTTTCGTTCTTGGGAGGCGTCCAGGACGCGTTGTTTTTGGATGCTCGGGAACCTCTGGGGGGGCCTCTTGGGCCCACTGTGGATCATGAGGTTCCCGTTTTTCTTGTAA